CCCCCCCCCCCCCCCCCCCCCCCCCCCAAAAAAAAAAATACATTCCAAAGTACCACTCAAAGCAATATAAGTAACAAGGATTTGCAAACTGGTGAAAAGACAAAAGTATGAAAAGCATTGAATCAGAACGAAGTAACTCACCTCAAATAAGTCATCATCGCTTTTAGCGTTACATCCGTCAACAGCGTGTTTAAATACGACACACAGTCGCTGGGACCAACAAATTCATCTTCCTCAAATTGTTGAGAGCGCTAAAATGGCAGCTGACTATAATTAAGATAGAGTGAGCGAGCAGCCTACAACAAACTCCTCAACGAACCTACCTTTGTTCCCCGTCGCGATGAGGAGAACGGTGTTATATTACTCGTCAAAGAATTTGACTTTCGTGACGGTCTTCCAGTTGCCGAATTTTTCAACTTGTCTACAAAGACATGAGATATAAATTTCAAATTTTAAGCTGCATTTAGTTCAAAAATACATGTATTAGTTAAAAAATAAATAAATTGCGAGTTTGACTTCCACCTTGAATCAATCGTGAGAAGTCGCACTTTCTGACACATTTGCTTTTTTCTTCCAAAAAAATTGGATACTCAACAGTAATACACTTCTGCGCACCGCGGACACGAGCCAAGTAAACCTAAAATTTCACAAAAGTAACACAATTTACACTTTTTGTTCAAAAATAGTAGTACTTGTGAAACGTTCTTATACCTGTAAAACGTGGTCTGTAGGACCCTTATGAATTTTTAAAGTTTCGCTGACAGATAAACCATCCAACAAGACGTCTTCAAGACAAATTCGCATCTTCTATAACGAATCGATTTCCAGTTAAAATTACATTCATATATATCGAGTATAAACTAGAATAAAAGAAAAAAAAAAGAAAAGGCTTCAAGCAAATGCATTAAACTCAAAAATCTAACTTCTTGCGCGTCAGGCGACCGACGATATTGTTGTTTTATTAAATAGGCAATTGTAAGTTTTAAAAGACGTTCCTGAGACTCAATTACAGATTTTGAGTGTAGTACCATAACATCCACATTCTGTAATAACTCTGTACCGTCTTCATCAGTCACTGTTGAATCGAAGGTCTCTCTTGCCTATATAAAGATGCACGCCATTGAAGCAGTGTTAAAACAATGGAACTTCCAATACCAAAGAGCTAAGCAATTTCGCTTTGAAGATAATAAATAAACTGCATATAATTGCATACTTCTTCAGTAGAGTTGCTTGAATGTGCGACCTCATGATCAAGTTCTCGAACTTTCAATAACTTTGCAGAAACATTCACAGGTGTTCCTTCCTTTCCATCATGAACAGTGTTGCCAGGCGCACCGCTAACATCTTCATTTTCCTTCTCAATCTTTAAAGATTATATGAAAAAGAAAAGCAAGAAATTGCAAATAATATTAAAAGCACAAACTAAATCGAAAAATTTACCTCCTTTATAATATGTACTTTCATTAAACGCACATAGGTACTTAACGTAGTCTGCGCTAAGCTATGCGAAGCACAGACGTCTGCAAGTGTACGACCTTCCAAGAATACTTTAGCTATGGCATCACACATAATATCTCTATTTCCCTTATAATTGTAACGCTGGATAATCTATAATGTAGTTTTTTAAAGTCACAAATCAGAATGAATTAGGACGCAGGGACAAGTACAAAGTGTCGGGATAAATTGCTTGATTTACATCATATTCTATGGTGAAGAAATAAATGTCACATTTGTCCTACCTTTCATTACTGGATACTACCGAGGTGATATAAGTTTCAACACGTCTCGAAATAAACAGTTAAACAAACAAACATTCGAAGAGATAAACCACAGTAACCAACTTTACAATAAATACCCATAGAACAACAACAACTGTAAAAAACACTAACCTTTCCGATTTTTGCTTTTAGATCTTCCTTTGTTCCTTTAAAATCTGTAGCAAAAACATCAAATTTAGTGTCACAAAGCATACGAGACACACCACGAACAGACAGAGGGACTGCAAATTTTTCTATTTTCTCCTCTAACCAAAAGAGAAAGGTTCTTGAAAACATTCTTTCTGTGCCATTTCAAATTTTGCTGTAATCATAAAGCAATAGTTACCTTCATCGTTTTCAGTTTTCGCTTTTTTCTTCAAGCTAACAACGCTACTTTTCGGTGCCTCCTTAACTTGTTCGACAGGCGGAATTCCTTTTCTGTCTGGGCATCGGGAACCCAAGAGATGTCGAGCTTTTGACACATACGGATGAGCAGTACTAGCTATAAAAATACTGCTGTTTCCTCTGATACTACAACAAAGGAATGGTATACAATGTGGAAACACCCACGTGGTAAATCTACTTGATGACAAGCTTCTTTTATTGTTACTTTACCAGACACTGCCGCAGTAACTGCAGCAAAAAGCTGTTCCTTTCTAGCTTCTGAGTGACTTCCACCATTTTCGATAACCTAAAATAAAAAATAACCTTGAAAAATCAATTCAAAAAATTAATTATATTATTCTTATCGAGATTACGAAGTATTCAGCGTCATACAAATGAAGAAGAGAGAAGATAAAAAAATTCACAGATCTAACAGCTTCCTTGATTTCATCTTCGGTTGCTATACCGGGAGAAGATCCAGTTGAGTCCGCAAAAGAACTTTTCTAAACAATATTCTGTTCCATCACTGTACCGTTATGCAAATCTGCATGCTGGCCATGCTGTAATATCTTAAAACCCAAGTTTATTTCATGGCAAAACAAACCCTAACAATTTGTGCGATCCCCCGTTCCTCCATTGCCTTCTTTGCCCGATTAACGTATGGTTGAATTGTACTTGCTGGTATACCATAACGTTTTCCTGCTTCTGCTGTTGAAGCAGTAGTAGTTAACACCTAGAATTTAAAAAATAATACGCATTTCTGTACTTCTTGAAAGTCAAAAATCAGTGTTGCTCATTAATCACCTAAAATAAGCGTTATCAAGAATTTTAAGCGGTGTGAGCATTATCCTGCATTATTTTGAGGATTTTTACTATCCAATTTAATATTGCAATAAAGTACCCAATAAAAATACCACTAGTCAGTCAAAGAAATGAAGCCCTGCACTACCAGAGAAAATCTGTTCTTATTAAATGACAACAACTCAGAAAACAATATGTCTATTAAACAATTAAAAATTGTCAATACGTTTATATGTGTGAATAATACACTTAAGCTTTAAGACAACCACGTAGTGAGTGAAAAACAATGAAGATACCAAAAACACGTGTTGATCATTAACTCTAAATTAAGAAATTAATCGACTATCTGTTAGTTATAATAGATATAGAAGCAGATATATCAAAAAATGAAAAAGGAAAATAATCCAGAAAAGCTAAAGACATTAGCAACAACTTTAGAGGTTGTCAGAGTACTAAGAGTACTGTAGGTGACATATTCTTTCAGAGTTAGTACTAAAGTATTTCCTGCACCCTTAATTCAATTTTACCGACCGTTAATAATTTAATTACTTTTATAACTTTAAGTGTAATGACCAAACAGTCAACTGATACAAAGAATAACAACAAGCAAAACATTTTAATTTCCAATAGTCAATGCAATAAAAAATTGTTGAAAAAAAAAATAAAAAAAAAACTTGTGCTTACAAACACCACTGCCTTTTCTAATAACTACAAAAATCGATAAAAATCAAGTTCCTTCCATTCTCCTTAATAAAAAAAATAATAAAAAGAAAATAGAAAATAAATAAATAAAAGTTGTACTCAAATATTCATTCCCCTTTTCTATCTTCACCTAAACTTCAACAGTAAAAAGATGTAATTTTGCATGTATCATTGCGCAAATAAACAAAATAACTGATCGAATACAGTGATGTTTTCAGTTTGACAGTCATAAATCTTTTCAAAAATTATAACAAATCAAAACAAATAAAAGCGGAAAATGGAAGCGTAAAAATCAAATAAAAAAAAATTTTTTCAAAAATAATGGAAAAAATGATGGTGTAATCAATTATAAATTAGATTTGTGACATTTGCAAAGATGAATTGTCAGTAAAAGCGTGAAAAAAATTAAACTGAACAAAAATTGATCTTGAAAAAAAATTTTTTTGGCAAATTTTTGTACCAGATGATCACAGAGAATTTTGGTTATTAACCGCTGTTCCACTAACCGTTTCACGGAAATAGATCAAACGATAAAAACAAATTATTGTGTCAATTGACGCTGATGACGACAGTGACCAAGTAACGCCCTGTTGGTATATCAGTTATTTAGACGAACGCTCAGAAAAATTGCAGAAATAAAAAGCAACAAAGAAGAAAAAAAAAACAGAAACAGAAATAGAAACAAAAAAAAAAAAGCAAAACTAAAAACAGTCAGTGGCACCATCGACATTGCTGCAGTTTTTCTGTAAATATATTAATCATAGTGTGAAGAACGATAAAACAAAAACAACAATTTCTCTTCTATAAAATTACTACTACAGTTCCGAGACCATTCATTTGAACAACTGTGTATTGTCATGTGCGGTATCTTTGCTGTTTGTCACTGCAACAAAGCAAGTGGTAAAACTACAGCAAGATTTTGTTTTGAAACTGCTAAAAAACATGCACAGTAGGTTTAACATTTCAACTTTTCTTGTCTATTCCTCCATTTCCTGCAGTTTTTCTCACTTTTTGCTCCTCCATAATGACACCTCATAAAACTGTTCAAGAGAAAATAATGAATAAAAAATAAAATTGTCCATAAAAACAACTATCAGTATTTTTATTTTGTAGTCGACAAAAACACAGAGGACCTGACTACCGTGGGTTTTATCAGAATGAACAAACTGGCGACATTTTATGTCACGAACGACTTTCAATTATGGACCTCAGCTATAAATGCGCACATCCAATTCAAGGAAGTCAACCGAATCACCAAGTAAGATGCCAAAATCTCTCAAGATCTGTACGAAGAAAAAGGAAGAGCTTACTCTGACGATAACGGCAAATAAAAACCCAAACGGAACTTGGTGGCTTACAGTTGTTTGCTTTAAACTCTAAGAAGAAAATTTAGGTAATACATAATGGAGAAATTTACAATCACGCCATTTTACGACAAGATTTACTAAAAGAATTTGCTATGAGAACGGAGTGTGACTCGGAGACAATAATATACCTTTACGAAAAGGTAACATATATTATATACCAAAAAAACACCTCCAGTTCAATCATTCTTTAAAACTTTACAAATTATTAAAGAAGTTTTGGTAACGGGACATGATCTCCGTAAGACTTCCAAGTTAAAAAAAATTCAAATTTTTTCAATCTTCACTTGATGATTGGTTGTCAATTTAATCAATTATTTAAAATCACAGATACGTAACGGCATGATGTGCAATCAGTTAGATGGCATCTTTACTTTTGCACTTATCTATGAAAAAGAATTTCTGGTTGCTAGAGATCCTATTGGCATAAAACCCTTATACTACGGCATTGACAAAGAAGGACGGTATCTCTTTAGGTAATTTTTCAAACAAGATTTTTAAAAAAATAACGCAGTACAAAAAAACATATATGTGTAAATCAAATCTTAGAAGAATTACAAGGAAGATTATCTATGTTTATAATTTTCTAAATATTTAGAACTTCTTGACATAGAAAAATTGATAAATCGTCTTTAAGGGAATCATCAAAAATAAATTTGCAGCTCAGAAATGAAAATCATTGAAGACATATGTGGAGAAAATTTCATGAAAACTTTTCCACCTGGACATTTTTGGACCCCAGAAAATGGTTTTGTTCGATATTTCAACGTAAACATTGTTTTAGTTCTTTTCTCCGCTTCTCATCACTCAGTTAGTTTTCATCCTCGTGAAATGAAAAAACTTCACGATTCTTACAGCCTTTATGGTTAGAACCATCCAATGCAACTAATGAAGCAAACTTATTAGCAATTCGAGAAGCGCTGACAGCAGCTACCATCAAACGACTAATCAGCGATGCGCCATTAGGTGTGCTACTTAGTGGTGGACTAGATTCCAGCTTAGTTAGGTAACGGTTCTATTCTACGTGACTTCAAATTTAATTTTCAACAACCTGTCTAATATTTTGGACACTAAAATAATTTCAACTAATTTTATAGCTCTATTGCCAGTAGAGAAATGCGTCTCCTGGGGTATAATATGATGTCATTTTCCATTGCACTTGATGAATTCCAACCTGACACTGTCGCAGCACGAAAAGTTGCGAAATTTATTGGTACCGAACACCACGAATTCCATTTTACTATCAAAGTACTGTTACTTTAAAATGTTGCTTAATTAGTTCAGAACTCCTGCTTGGTTTTCTTCTTTGAAAATATGGAGAACTTTTCGTAGGAAGGAATTGATAATCTTCGCAATCTCATATGGCATCTAGAAACCTACGACGTTACGTCAATTAGAGCATCAACTCCAATGTTCTTTCTCTCCAAAAAAATTAGCGAACTTGGCGTAAAAGTAGTATTATCGGGAGAAGGAGCGGATGAAATATTTGGTGGCTATTTGTATTTCCATAATGCACCAGATGATTACGCGTTCCAACAGGTAATTTTTGGTAATTCCAACAAGTTATTTTCACTTTCACTAAACTGATTTTACTACTAATCATAATAATTGCTATCTTAGGAGACAATTCGAAGGGTCAACCTCCTCAGCACCGCTGATTGCTTGCGAGCAGACAAGTCATGTATGGCCCATGCAGTGGAAGTCCGAGTCCCATTTCTTGATAAAGCTTTCTTAGAAGTTGCTATGATGACACATCCACGTTACAAACGACCGGTAGTTTACGAAAATCGACCAGTAGAAAAATATTTTCTACGAAAGGCGTTTGACGATCCGGTAAAAAACTAAAATTTCATAAGCAGCTGTAGAGTACTGAAATTTATCAACTGTAGCGCGCCCTTTTTAAACAACTTAAATAGTTTCTACCTGATAACCTGTAGTATAAGTGCCTTGCAAAAGTTTTAACATGCTGTATCATTTTAAGGACAAGCCTTATCTACCAAAGGAAATACTGTGGCGACAGAAAGAACAGTTTTCTGATGGAGTTGGATACAACTGGATTGACCAACTTCGAGATTACTGCGCTTCCAAGGTGTCCGATGAGGAAGTAAGAGAAGTCCATTTTGGTTAATTTATCCAGAAAAGAAAATGCGCAATGCAAATAATCAGTTAATTTCAGATGAAGCTGGCAGGAAAAACATTCCCCTACAACACACCAACAACTAAGGAAGGTTATTACTATCGTAAGATCTTCCATGAACTCTTCCCTAGCGAAAATGCAGCAAAAACTGTCAAAAAATGGGTACCCAAGTGGCAGGTAAAAATAATATTTGAAGGTTTTTTTAAAACCCTTCCAACAAGACTGTTTTTCTAGTTCATTCAATAATTAAATTCACAGGAGAGTGAGGACCCGTCTGGAAGAGTGTGTTCAGTGCACCTAAAAAGAATAACTAATGAAACGGAAAAATCGGGTGTAAGGAATAGTACAATTATGAAGCAGAGTTTGAAAGAGCAAAAATCTATGACACCGAGGCAACAAGAGCTATGCATGCACTAAATAAACAGAAAATATTGCCACTTCTGTCTATATTATACCGAAGGAGTTCTCATAAATAAATACTGCTGTTCGTGCTTGCTTAATTTCAGAATGCATCTCATCAGATCTTCAAAAGACTTCAGCTAAATTCATAACTAGAGAGACGCTTTGGATAACACTAAGACAGCAAACTATTCTGCATTCTGCAAAAACAAAACTTTACAACTATTCAAACGGGTCGTAATCGGTGACTACGGTGCTAGTTGCCCGAACATCGTTATCAAAAGAAGTTTGTAAGGATTGGGGGTAAGTCAGAAACATTAAAAAAGGAACTTACTTTTACAACTGCGTCTTTCAATTTTTGTTTCCCACTGGCATCATATAATGACGTTTTAACCAACTCTATCACAAGTTTGTCCAATTTTTCTGAGTCAATACAACCATTAAGGGGATCGTTTACCGTGTCAGTCTGTGTCGGCACAACAGCTAAAAACGAGTAGTAGGAATAACAGCAGCTTTGAAAGACTACGTGCTGCTAAACCGCAGAAAATCCTAAAGACCTCTCAAACTTCTTTCCGCTTTATTTCTAAATGTATCTTCACCAACCAAGGCAAAAATGCGTAATGGTATACCTTTTTCGTGCGCTTTCATAGCTGTCCAGAACGTCGGCCCAGACGCTTGAGGTGGCAACAGAACACCGAGTGCTGACCGAGCACGATGAACGTATGGATGAACAGTAGAAGACGGCAGCTGCATCATATTTGAAGCAGCATTGATAGTTAGCTCACCACGAACAACCCTTCAATAACCACTCTCAAAGCAAGAGAACCATCACCACAAGAAATAAATACATTAAGACAAAAGCCCCAATCACCTATAACATGCTAAAACTCTGTTAAACATACATTAGTACAGCACTCAGAAGTTTTTCCTTCTGTTCACCGACATACATCGAAGATGCGCAAATTTCTTTCACACCTTGTTCAATAGCAAGCACACGTTCTGTATCATCCGGATCGATGGGTGGACCGTAAATGAACTCTTTTTCACTCTTTTTGCTGTCAACACTGCTTCCAGCAATAGATGCCTTCTCAATCTCTTCCGAAGAATCACCTTAAAAAATCTTACTCAACGATTCAAATTCTACTAGAAGATAATACGAATAGATAAAATCAGAAAGCTACTGTCAAGCTTTTTCGTTTTGGGGGAGCATGTAAAAAATGAGTCAGAACTACTAGAAGAAAAAGGAAAGCCACTAGAAAATTCAAAAAATTAATGTAACTGATATTTCGGATCAACAAAAAAAGTGGCTTACCTAGGTCAGCAAGCCAGCTGTCACCGTCTATCGCTGCAGATTCACTTGACTCGCCGAATAACTATAATAATCATTTTTAAGCGAAAGTTATTTGATTTTTTGCAGAAAACTCTCGAATGATGCAAAGACAGCATATCTTATTGTCGAGCAATTGCAAAAATAGTAACGCTGCCATAAAACAATTTAAAACACTTTTATGCTTCATATTATATAATTGAAGAAAAGGAAATCAAACATTTGAAATAAAACAAATTAAAAAATATCAATAAACTCAAAAATATAATATTATTTAAACTGTTACTTCTGCTAGAGATCCATCCAGCACTGAACCTTGAAGCTGCTTCTTCATTTCCTCAGTGAAACTATTCATGGAAGCATAGTAACTGAGAACCTCATCACGCACCTCAGCGGAGACTGGAGGAACTGCAATGAAATTAATATCTGTAAATGACTCTTTTAATAAAAATTAAACTCAAGATTACGTCGGCTGTTGAAATTAATACCTGTAAGATTTCCGTTCTGGTTCAGGACATCTCCACAATCAACTGTAGAAGGAAACTGCAAGCTGGCATTTGCCAACAACTAAAACACCAGCATTTGTTGATATCGTAAATTTTTCTTGTCAAAATTGGAAACTGAAGACTTTTTCGTCAACAGAAAGATAATTTAAATTTTGAAGATTAGCATTCTGTCAAAACCAGAAAATTTATAAATATCAATTGCGCTTAGTTCTAATACTCGACAATAAGTAATCGTCAGAAAGTAAAGATGATATTTTTTTGTCGTGATTCTCTTTTATATTACTAAAACTTTAAACATCCTGTCAGTGAAAGTTAAAAGCAAGGTCTGCTGCCCATTGTGAAAGCAAACTGAATAAAAACTTCAAAAGTGAAAAAAAGATGAACAGAATCATCCATCCCACTTTAAGGGGTTACACCACTTGGCAAAAGTGGCGCAGCACTTCAAACAGTCGAAAGATCAACAATCTTTGCGTCCTCACAATGGGAACAGACCTTCATAGCAATTTTGCTGTCAGTCAGTATGGTAAGGTGGATATCTGATGAAGGGTTCGTGCAGCCAGACAAAGATAACAA